AAAAATTTTTATCCCTTGTTTTTTTGTTTATTCTCTTTTTCTTGCTCCTTCTAAAATCTATAGGAGTAGAGAGGTTTACCTATCATTACAGTTCACAATCCTCCCCGGTATTTTGAACAAAGGTAAATGCTTATTCCTTGTTTCTTGTTTAGGATTGGGTTTCCGGTTCCTTCAAAATTCTGTACATTCACTTTCATTTCCCCTCCGATTGCGTCTTAGTTGCATTATCGTCTTGCTTGGGTTGAATTTATTAATTTTTAATTTTTTTCTACTGGACTTCATTTATAAGATGAAACAGAAACTGTCGTCAAATATTTTGTTTCACTTGTGTCAACTATATATATATATATATATATATATATTTTTATATATATATAAATTTTAATATTAAAGAACAATTTAGATTTATTTTTCAATTTTAGCATTTATTTTATTTTTAAAATAAATAGTGCTCGATACAACAGTAAGCAAAATATTATAATTGGTTTTTTTTTAAATACCTCTTGATAATGGAACGGAACTTTGTATTTTAAGTTTAATTTGTATGTTTGAATTTCAATTGAGCCTTCAGTATTGAAAAAATATTCCAAAATGTTTTTGATTATATATTTAAAAAAAGCAATATATATATATATATATATATATATATATATAATAGATAGATAGATAGATAGATAGATAGATGTGTGTGTGTGTGTGTGATATATTTTATCATATGTCTACTTTATATGATATGTCATATATATATATATATATTCTCTTACATTCTTCTACCGAATTTGGCAGTGTTATTGTCAATAATACGAAAAACCTTTATATAATAGTGAGAATGAAAACAAAGAAATTCTTTAGCAAAAAAATAAAAAATTTGAAAAGATTTGTTTATAATTAAATTCCTTTTCTGGCCATTGAGTTCTTCTTTTTGTAACTATTTTATATATTTACTTGTGCCCTGTTTTACATCAGAGATTTTTTTTTTTTTATCGTCTTGACGGGTATAAAGGAAAAAAAAGCATTTCTTTTAGACACCACCTGACCGGTTTCAGTCGATTTTTTCACTCGGACCAGTCATTCGTCAAATTTATAAAAAAAAAACAAAAAAAATCAACATGTTCTGACTTGTTTGATTTATTCTTAATATTAGACAAAGATGAACTGCAAAGACATTGAAATGCTAAAAAAAATAAAATGTATTAATTCAAATCTAAATATATATATATATATATATATATATATATATATATGGATTTAACTAATGGATTTTATTTTTAATCCGACATCATGTTTATTAAATAAAACGTTATATTTTGTGGATACATATGTGTGAGTAAATATACTTGTTTTTTAAACACTGTATATGTCTAGCAATACCCCCCTTATATATACACACACATACACACACACACACACACACACACACACACACACACATACACACACACACACACATATTCTTCATAGCTCTGTTTACCTACATTGAGCACTGTTTTGTTTGTACCATAAATAAAATTAAATATATATTTATTTGTTTATCTAAGTATGCACGCCATCACACTCATACACAGTTGCTAATATCTCGTTATTAATTTAATATTAATTTCTCTCTTTCTCCATTTCCCAAGTACTTTCGATCTTCTGCCAAGATCATCTTCAGGGGTGCAAGTGGTATATGTTTTTCATTAGTATAAGTATATATATAAATATGTGCGTTGTTATCCATTACCCTAACTATTTCATTATGCTTTTAAATGCGAAACGATTGACAATATACTGAGCGTTCATTAGAAAGTGAAAAAAAATTATCCATTATGGAATTTTTTTATTATGTGTTATGATACCATAGTCACGCACGCATCAAAGAATGAAAAAAACATTTCAGAACATTACTGCAGTATTCATAGTTGATTCTGTTCAGTGCCGGCTTTAATTTTTTAATATAAATTGCTTCTAGGATCTGTAATCTAGTTTAGTTGTTTTCATTTAGCAGGATAGTTGTGTTGTCGATTAGTAATTTTTTATATTGTAAATGCAGACAGGAATGTTGTTGTAGATGTCTCGCAATGGACGAATGGTCAAACATGAGATGGACAAAGTCCGACAATTTTATATATATATATATATATATATATATGAGAATTAATGGATTTTATTTTTAATCCGACATTATGTTTATTAAATTAAACGTTATATTTAGTGGATACACATGTGTAAGTAGTTAGTCTTGCTTTTTATAAAAAAATTGAGTAGATCTATGTCTACAAATACACACACACACAAAGTATTAAATGAAGATTATGTATTCTTTTTGTATTGCACGAATACTTTTTAATACATTAAAATGGATAAATGGGATTTATTTCTACTAAATCAAATTTTCCAGTTTTCTATGCATATTAAATTATTACGCATTTGCGTACAGTTAATTATATGAAAAGCATATTTATTCATTAGTCGGAAATACATTAAGTTAAAAATTTGTACGTGTACGAATATTTGTTTCCCCCACTGTACATATATATATCTGTGTGTGTGTGTATGTGTGTGTTTTGTGTGTTCAGTATATATATATATATATATATATATATATATATATATATATATATATATATATATATATAATAAATGCAAATGTCAGTGTGTCACACGTTTTCAACTTTACTCCCAGACGCCGTAGCCCAACATATCCTACCATTTTAGAATAAGGCCGACTCCTCCGTAAGCAAATTAAAAACAATCCGGGTCGGATCCGGGCCTGTAATCCTGAAATTTAGGATTCCAAAGTTTTCATTAGAGCGATTATTTCCGGCGATTTTTACGGGATTTTGCGATGAATTTTTTTGTAGGATAACGATTTTTATAACTTGGAAATAAATTTGGGAATAATTGAAATTAATTGCGAAATCCAGCGAAAGTCACCCATAAAATAAAAATAATTCTTTGTACGTAAAGTAAGAACCTACGTACATCAAATTACCTTTAAATTAAGTGGTGACAGAAGAATTATCGTTTAACTTTTAAAAGGTAAATATTAACGCGATACTTAAATGCAGCGATCAATTTTGAGTTCTTCTGTAGTTTATTGTTGCCTATCGCATTAGCCTCCCACGCAAAAAGAAATATCTGCCAACAGAGGACCAGATTGCAATCAAAAGAACCAAGCCTGCAGCAAGGAAAAGAAAGTCTCATGAAAGTGAAAACTCAGAAAAGCTTCTAATGCTGAGAATATGCAAAGACTTATGGTCTCTCAAACTCCTGAACAAGCCGAAGGTTCAATCAAAAGCCCTCCAGAAGAAGTAGTTTAAATGCCACCCTATAGGACGGCTTTTAATTATATATATATATATATATATATATATATATATATATATATATATATATATATATATAAAAATAAGGTAAGAACAAAACGATTATAATTCGACTCTATGTAACATTTAATTTTAATTAAGATAAAGCTAAAAAAAAAATTATTATTGGAGATTAAAACAAAAACATGTTAAAAATCGCTACACTGTAGCAATCGTATTTCAACACGACTAATGTGTCTCCTCCAGCGAACGTAAGTGAGTGAACGATTAATTTCAAAAACAGAATGTATAGAAAAAGTATAGAAAACATGATTATAGCGATCGAAGGAAAAGAAATAGAAATAGGAAAATCATTTGGTATACACCCACTTTTAAGCAAATGGTCATTATTAAGTTAAGCCAGAATTTCTTCTATTTAATTGATAAACATTTCCCTAGAAATAATTCTCTCGGTAAAATATTTAACAGAAACACGCGAAAATTAAGTTATAGCTGCACTGATAATCTTGAGAAGATTATAAAAAAAGGCAATAATAAAATTTTAAACCAATTTAAAAACTTGGATGATAATGCAAATTCCAAGATAAATACTGTTGATAATAGTAACCAATGTAATTGCAGGAATTCTAACGAATGCCCGTTGCAAAAGCAATGTATGACCAACTGTCTTGTTTATGTAATTACTATTTCTACAATAGAAAATCCATCTCTTTAAAAATTTATATTTGGAGTACTAAGTTTTCCTTTAAGACTAGATGGCACCAATATATCTTATCCTTCACCAATAGTACGTATAAAAATAGTACATCTCTTTCTGAATATTTTTTGGAATTTAAAAGTTAATAAAACTTCTACGGTAAAATGGAAAGTATTAAAAAAGCTAAAACGTGTAAATCTTTAATTGAACTTTGTTTGTATTCTACATGAGAAAATAGAAATTATCAAATTTATTCATAAAGGTTACTTATTAAATCAAAGAAGTGAACTAACTGTAAATTATAGGCATAGTTTGCTTTTCACCTTACAGTATGGTTAAACTTCGAATTTTATAAAACTTTTTCTTACAGTAATAATTGGTAAAAGTAATAAGGTGCACCTTATGTGGTTTACTGATTTATTGTGCAAAATTCATTTAGATTTAATATAGCTCTGTATTGAGGTCTAGTTAGTATTATTAACATCTTATATTGATTAGTTCGTATTATTAATATCTTATATAGACAGTCTTTACTCAGCGGTTCCATACTAATTTACCAAAGTAGTTTTGAATTAATTATTCGTTTTTTGGGTTTATATTTTACCAGTTTCTTAAAGAAGCCTTTTAATTATCAATTACAAAATTCTATGTAGGAAGATGACTGAGCATATAGATAGTTAATATTATAGTAGATTATTCCCCACCCCTTTCTCCTTCACTTCCTATATTTTACGAAATAATGTAATCATTTGTATCAGTCGCAAATGAAATTGTCTAGGATTTATATGCAGACAACTTCAATGTCATGACCTATATAATTTTTTTCAGCTGGTTTAGATTTTAGCGTAGGCCTCATATTTGATTGGCTTAATCACGGCAAACCCACGAGCCTCATTTCAATTCTGTTTTTTCTTTTTATTTGTTTTTTTTTTGTCGCCTTATCTTTCTCTTTCAAAAGAAGAGGAAGTATTCTGCTTTTGAAATTAATCGTTCACTCAGTAGATAGATAGATAGATAGATAGATAGATAGATAGATAGATAGATAGATAGTCACGGGATTAGCAGTTGTCAGTGTACAATATTTTAAATTTAAAAACTTAGCATATTAATAAGCGTTTATGAAAACATATATTCTGCCAATAATACAATATCTTATCTGCATACTGACGGCCTTTAACTTAGCGAAACATTTATTCATAGTTTTTCTATGTTTAATAATTATAATAATAATAATAATAATTACAAAAATAGTAATTACAATAATAATAATAATTGTAATAATAATAATAATCTTCTTATAACTTTGCTTGGTCTTCTTATTTAGCATGCATTATGCCCTATCAATACCTCCTGAATAATGGACTATTCCGTTTTGATCGCGCGGAAATACAGAAAAGACAAACCAGAGTCTCTACTTGGTTTTAGTAAAAGAAAGAAAGAAAGAAAGAAAGAAAGAAAGAAAGAAAGGAAGAAAGAAAGAAAGAAAACTTCAAACAGAAAAGCCGTGAAATTTTCACAGATACTATTCATAATAATAATAATAATAATTTATGGGAAAGGAACTACAAGAAATTAGTATAGACACCACCCGGGCCCGGTTACAGACAATAGGACCCTTTAACAATTTATGGACCTTTACAATATACATAGACAGAACAATCAAGGCTAACCGCCCAGACATATTGATCAAAAACCAAAACATAGCGTGCTTTCTTAATGATGCAGCACTTTCTGCAGACTGTAATGTTGCTTTGAAGTTTTTCAAAAACTATCAAAATACAATGATTTTCAAGGGAAAACCCTAAAAAATGTGGCATATGAGGACATCAATAATTTCAATTGTGGTTGAAGCCCTGATTGGAAAAGGCTCATTGAGATGGTCTCTAGCAGCCCGTACCCTAAAGAAATGCAGCAAATAATAATAATATATGTCTACATCAAATCATTAGCCACATAGGAATAATTTTAGACACGGAAATTACATATATCTATAATTATCGGAGATTAGATTTCCTGATAAATTGTAAGGGTGTTTTGTTACCTATAGCTACTCAGCCTTTACTTGGCCCGCCTGGCCGATAGTCGGAAGCAAGGCAGAAGTTTAAAAACTGTCGGCATCTGTTCCGTTTCATTCGATTTTCTGCAGTTTTAAAATAGGCACTGCGACCAAAATTTCTTTCTTTTAATCCTGTTTTTGTATCTACCTATAGAGTAAACATACTAGTTCCCGAATATCAAAAACAAATTTTATAAAATTTTATTAAAGTTAAAGCGTCCATGTTACGTTGTAAACTCATTGTAAATTGCCACTGCCTCCCACTACGGAAGCCAAAACATGCTTATAGCCATGTTTCCAAACGGTTCCGAGATGGATGTTGAGGTGCTGTTATAGATAATGATTCGGAAGGAGAAATCGAAGAGCCTGTTGCGGGAATGCTTTTTGTGTTTAGGTTGAAAACACGTGTCTCCTGTATCTGTCTATATTTCTGAGATGAGGTATTATGTACACTATTTACATTATTCGGACGATTGTCCTCATATTTGTCGCCATATTTATTACAACGTTTCGGCCTTTCAGTATCTGTCTATATTTCTGAGATAATGTATTATGTACACTATTTACATTATTCGGACGATTGTCCTCATCGTTGTCGCCATGTTTATCACAACGTTTCGGCCTTTCAGTATCTGTTTATATTTCTGAGATGATGTATTATGTACACTATTTACATTATTCGGACTATTCTCCTCATCGTTGTCGCCATGTTTATCACAACGTTTCGGCCTTTCAGTATCTGTTTATATTTCTGATATGAGGTATTATGTACACTATTTACCTTATTCGGACTATTGTCCTCATCTTTGTCGCCATGTTTATCACAACGTTTCGGCCACTATTTACATTATTCGGACTATTGTCCTCATCTTTGTCGCCATATTTATTACAACATTTCGGCCGTTGTACGCTCCGACCTTCTTCAGATGGTTGGAATGTCGAATTGAACCCTTTATTTCGCTCACTGGGGTAGACTGTTCTAGTTCCACGTGCTACGTTTAATGGATACCAGTTGTCAGTTATGTCCTGTTAATTCCCCTCTCCAAGTTCTCCACTACCTTAACTGAGTATTGAACTCACACTCTTTGGGTCCTCATGGACACATGGCACAGTGGATAAAGGCGTTAGTTAGATCCAGTGACAGGACCCAACTATTATTACAATAACAATAAACGAAGAAAACATTTAAAGACTAGTTTCATAAAGCATTTAAATTAGAGAAGGTGTTTATGTGTGTGAAATTTGTGTAGGCCTCCATGAGAGAGACACGGACGTGAAAGAGTACAAAAAAGGCAAGAGTAAAAAAGAAAGACATTGAAAATGAACGTCCTCCAATGAAGGACACTTTTTTCCCCCAAGGGCGACTACATCTTATTGACAGAGTTGTAAAAAGGGAAAGAGAATGCGCGAGGATATCATTTCCCATTTATAGGCTTAGGGAGCGTCACCTAGCGATGTTTTTTTTTAGGAAAGTCAAGTGGGATAACCCACAAGTCAGGTTCAAATTCCTATCTTTACATCCACTTACGCGAAAACACTCTTGGGAAAGGTATCCATCTCTCCCTCCAGATATTGTAGGACTTGTATTTGGAAAAATTAAAGTTGTTCTCAAAAAAATTTTTAATGTAATATTCATTCGCAAGTTAAGAATTATTCTTTAAATAACTCACAAGAGGTTGATAAACCGTAAAAAACTAATCAACCAAGCATCTACGAAATAGAATTTACTCATTTATTTTTCAAATCTTTTTTTCATATGTTACTGTCGGTTCAGCACTCCAGATTACGTATTTCTAAACAGAATTTACGAAATTATGTGTTATGAACATTTTTCCTTCCATACGTCAATTCATAATGAATTTATGTAACAAGACCCCCGCCTCATTATATCATTATTATTCCATTACATGTGCTATACGTTTTGGTAGTTGCTGAGATTGGAAGTCATCACGTGATGTGGTCAATGTTATTTGGTAATGTTCTTTGTTTTGTCTCTTTGCGGTGCCAGTCTGGTGAAGGGTTGCCTTCATTAAGACCGAAAGAATTCATTCGTTTCAAACGATCATTGATTAGCGAAAACAGCTGTATATAGATTTACTGCCCTTTGTAGCTCTTAATAAAGTTTGTCTTTATGCTATCTCTCCCTAACCCCTATTCTGCTAACCATTTAGACAAGTTCCTTCTTCTTCTTCTTCTTCTTCTTCTTCTTCTTCTTCTTCTTCTTCTTCTAGGTGCCGTGTCTCTTCAATTTGTAGGTGACTATGGCTCTCCGCAATTTCCCATTCTTTGTAACTCTTAGTAAAGTTTATATATCTCTCCTAATTCCATCCCTGTCAACCATTTATATAAGCACATTCTTTTTCTATCTGCTGTGTCTCTTATGGACATGGGTGATCATGAATCTCCACAACTTCATATCCATTGTAACTCTTAGTAAATGTTGGCTTTTTGCTATCTTTCCTAATCTCTGTTCTGCCAACCAAGCTCCTTCAGGATGTGGGTGCTCCTCCCTTACCCCCATTTCCTGTCTTTTATAGCTATTAGTAAACTTTGTTTCCTCGCTATCCCTCTTGTTCTACCAACCATTTACATATGCTTGTTTGATAGGTTACGCGTTGCTAGGTCTCCTAATTCCACTAACCGTTATCACTCTTTCTAGCCTTCATGGGGCTTTCTTCCTAACGCTTTGTTTAAAGCAGTGTGTAGAGACATCTTGGTTATATTATCATTTTCCCTTCCAGTTACATGTGTTATCCATTTTAGTTGTTGCTGTTGTTGGAAGTCTTCAATCGATGTGATTTTTGTTAATTACTAAATTTCTTTATGACACTGTAACGCCAGTCGATAAGATCTGATGAAGATGGCGCTGAAGAATGAAACTGGAAACAACATCACTATCTTCCCAAGCAGAATCCTGGTTTTTACACCGTATGCAGATATTAAAAATGAAAAGATGTGGAGAGCCGTTATCAATTATGTCCTGAACGATCATGGAACTTTAGGAGAGAGATGATTTAAGTAGCAATATTGACAGTAAAGAAAGAAGAAAGCCTCTGCTTTTAAAGTAGTGCTGACGTCACAACCAAATCTAATATTTTCGTATTTATTGCTTTTTGGCCAGTTTGTCATCCCCTTCCCCCAAATGCCGTTTTTTTTTTTGGATACCAGTCTTATCTCCTCCATTAAATACACTCGAAATTTTGCCAGAGTTTAAGTTTCTCTTTGTTTACTTATCTCATCGACAAATCCACCCCTCCCCAAACTCATCATTGCACTCTTCCTCTTCCTCTCCTCCCCCTCCTGTGTTTCTGTATTTTCTTATCCCAATTGTCTTTCTGCTTTCATCCGTCATACATTTTTATCCCCTTTCTGTTACATCGTTACTATTATTATTATTGTTAGTAGTAGTAGCAGTAGTAGTAGTAGTAGTAGTAGTAGTAGTAAACCCTTTTTTTCTCTTCATCCTTTATTGTCCTACATTTTTATTCCTATTTCCTTCTAATTCAATACTTCTTCCTTGTTTTCTTTCTCTTTCTATTTCTTTTTGGCTTCTTTTTTCTAATTTATCATTTTTTCTTCTTTTTCTTTGCCTTATATTTTTTCTTCTTCTTCGAATCCCTTCTCTCTCTCTCCTCTTTGTTTTGTTTTTTTTCTTCTAATTCTTTTTTTTTCTTTTTGTAAGTCTTTTCTTTCTCCATTTTTTATCATTCTAAATTTCTTCGTTCATTTTCTTCTTCCTCTTTTTTCTTCTTCTTTTGTTCTTTCTCTTTCCTTCTACCTCTTTTGTTCTTCTTCTTTTCTTTTTCTTGTTCTCCCTTTTTTCTTCTTCTTTTCTTCTTCCTATTATAAACAGAGCATTTACTTAAATATTTGTATCTATAAAAAGAACGTATAATCATAAAAAATGTCTTAAAAAATAATTGTCGGATTTTGTCCATTTAAAAATATGTGACGTCATTTGTTTACATTTGGATACGCATCGAGCAGATGTGAATGTACGAGAAAAAGTCATGAAAAATTGTTGTTTTAAAACAGTAACATCGACCTTGCTAACCAAAATGCTCCTCTGTGGCTAAATCGGTAAAGCACGTCAGGTTATATGACGGTTCCATATAGGATACAGGTTCGATTCCAGTCGTAGGACGCATATTTTCTATGAAAATTTCTCGGACATTCAGGCCGGTAAATGTCATTAATACTGTTTATTATAAACAGCGCATTTACTTAAATATTTGTATCTATAAAAAGAACGTATAAACATAAAGAATGTATTAACAATATATATATATATATATATATATATATATATATATACGCACACGCTTTCATACACATGCATGCAACACAGGTAAAACAAACACACACATATACAGCATCGAATGAAGAAAATTAATGCCTTTTAAATTTGTCAAGATGCAGCAGCGTTCATTTTACGCAGGCCTCAAGATGGAAGCTGTCGCTCGGGCGCTTTATCCCAGAACAATGCAGGTAAATCGGCATCCTGAGAGTAACAGGTCGAAGAAGTGATACCGGGTCTTCAGGCTATCTTTCATTACGTTTCGTGACAGCGTGAATTATAAATGTCCTCCAGGGTGAGCAGCAGTGAGAATGAGAAATGTCCACCAAGGAGGACAGCAACGAAAATTAGAAATGCCCTCCAACGAAGGCAGCATTGAGAATTAAAAATGTCCCCCAAGTAGAGCAGCAAGAAGAATTATTTTCTGAACAACATCTATACCCCTTTGAATAGTTTTAAGGAAAATAGGAACAACGAGGAAACTTACATTACAGCTGAAATGTCTTGGATACAGTGAGAAAAGATAGCTTGGAGAATATGAGGCTCACAAGACTTATCTATGGTAAGAGAAACCGCGAAACAGCAAGTAACCTACTTAACGAGTTGGGTGAATGACTGAACCAGGACAAAGATGGAGGGTAAGGGATCAGAAATTACTTACAGCAACACAAAACAGGAAGTTGTGGAGAGTCATGATCGCTCACGCCCTGAAGGAACATGCCACGTAAAAGAAAAAAAGAAAAAGTGAATGGATGGCATCACAAGGACAAAGACGGATATTAAAGGTTCCCAGTTGGCTTAGAACAACAAAAGAAAGTTGTGGAGAGTCATGATCGCTCACGCACTGAAAAGACATAAAGCAGAAAATAAAATTTATGGATGGCAGAACAGAGATAAAAAGCAGTGCTAAAGGTTCACAAGCTATTTACAACAATAAAAGAGGAAGTTGTGGAGAGTCATGGTTGCCCACGTACTGAACAGACACAACACATAAAAGAAGAAAATGTAAAAGGCTGACAGGTGAGAGACATAGAAGTGATTGTAATGTGTCAAATGTTGCTTAGAACAACAAAAGACAAGAAGTTGTGGAGAACCATGATCGCCCACATCCTGAAAAGATATGGTACATCAAAGAGAAAAAGGTGAGTAGATGGCAGAACCGAAATGAATAGAGATGGGCAGCAACAAAAGACAGGAAGTTGTGGAGAGCCATGATCGCTCATGTGCTGAAGGGACACGACACATAAAAGAAGAAAAAAGTGAGCAGATAGCAAAACAGGAACAAAGACGGATGACAAAGGCTCAAAAAGTTAATTTAAAAAACATTTAGGATATTGTGGAGGGCCATGATCGTTTACGCCCTGAAGAAGCATGTTACATAAAAGAAGAAAAAGTTAATGGATGGCAAAACAGACACTTTCTGTTGAAATCAAATGATAGCCTACAATTGAATTTCCTTATTTTCTTCAGTATTCTTGCTGCTTTCAGGAATTCTGTCATCTTTGTGTTGACCAATTCTTTCACCTTCTTGACCAGCATCCTTGGAACTTTCTCATATTATCTTAGGAAGACCTATCACATTCAGGTTCTAAAGATTTCTCAATTTTCTGACAAAATCCACGTTTTTATTGTTTTCCGCCATTTTTAATTCACCCTACTTATCTGATGGCGTAGCAACATTTAGAATTTGACTTATCTTTTTCTCAATACATAATTTAATTGAACGAGGCTTTAAGATCACACAATGGAACATTCTTTCATAACCGAATATGGTTCTTCTTTCTCTGTGTACTATGTCCCTTCAGGGCGTGATTCTCCATAACTTCCTATATAGGTCTTAACAACGTTTGTCATCTCTCCCGTCCCACTTACAGCCATCCATTTACACAAGCTGGTCAGAGAGGTAATCCGCTGCCTCCGGCTGTCATTTTTTTTACCTCGATATTTCTTGCGAGTGTCAAATTCGCCAAGCTTTCTTTCCTCATTATGTATTCAAGAAATTTCATCTGGTTATTTCTGATTCTGAGTATCTTCTTCTCTGTGCCCTGTCAATTCAGGTCATTGGCGATCACGGCTCTCCACAATTATCTATCCTTCACAGTTCTTAATAACTTTTGTCTATGTGCTATCTCTCCTAAACTTTACCCCGCCATCTATTTACTCAAGTTCGCTAAGTAGGATATGCGATGTTTTCCTCTGGTCTTCCTATATTTAATCTGTCCATTGAGTATCAAATATTCCAAACCCTCTTTCATCATTATCTGATGTTAAGTATATGTGGCCTTTTTGCTTTCTCTAAATATTCTTCGTTGCTTAGATGTTCTGTCTATGGCAATCTAAGCATCCTTCCGTAGAACAACAATTCTGTTGCTTCAAGACTTTTCCTCATCTTTGATGAGATTGTCCAGAATTCACGGCCATATATGTGAACCGATATTACAGTATTATTTTCTTTGTTTTTAAAGAAATTTCCTGTTTCTTAATACTTTGCTCAGCTTTTGTGAGGCATCTTTCGCTATCCCAATGTGTCTTCGGATTTCAGTGTCACATTTCCGTCCTCTGTTAAAACATTTCACAGATATTTTAATTTATGTACTTGTTTGATTTTAATATCTCTAATTTCTGTAGGAGTTCTTGTAGTTTCCTTTCTATGTATGTCACCAATACTGTGTGATCAGTATATCTATTGTTTAAATTTTGGCCCCCAATCATGTATCTTGTTAGGACTTTCTAATTCTCTCAGAATCGCTTTACTGTATATGGTCGAATAAGTGTAGTGAGAAAACACTTCCTTTTTTACTTCCTTTCTATTTTTGTATATTTACTGAATTTATCTGCAGACGGTTTTCTGTCAGTATAAGTTCTGGATTATTCTAAAATATATAAAGGTTACCTAGCAGTTTCAACAATTCTTTGTGACGTATTTTATCAAACGCTTTTGAATAAACTATAAAACACAGGTACAAATGCATTTGTACCTGTGTTTTATAGATACTGAATATAAGTGTAGTTTTTTTTTCCATTTTTTTTTCTTTGTTGCTTATGAGTCTTCAAAAAGTATTTTTGTTGCCTACGAATCTTTAAAAGATTCTTCGGGAAAGTTCTATGCATTCCAATACAATTGCCTGCGTTCTGTTTCATAATATTCCAAATTTCACTTTTATTAAAAAAAATTTATCGCTCGTAGTTTTCGGAAATTTATATATATTGACAGATGTTGTCCCTTTTTAGATCCGACGTCATTTGGACCTCTCAGCCACAAAGCGCATCGATGGCCAAGCAAAAATGAATATTGCCTTTAAACACAGATTTTTCTCTGACTCTTCAAATAGACATACCTACTCAGTTTCGTATCCTGACGTAAACAAAGCAATTTCTAAAGAAAGGGATGTGTTTTTTATTCATTAATCCAACAGATTTTTATTACATAAATTCTATCTTTTATTTTTTATTTCGTTCACTGGGGTAGACTGTTCTAGTTCCACGTGCCATGTCTAATGGATGTCAGTTATCAGTTATCTCCTTCTTAATTCCCTCTCCAAGTTCTCCACCGCCTTGACAGGACCTAAAGAGTGTGAGTTCAATACCTGGTTAAGGCTGTGGAGAACTTGGAGAGTAAATTAAGCAGGAGATAACTGATAACTAATAAATATGGCAACAAAGATGACGACAATAGTCCGAATAATGTAAATAGTGTAAATAATACCTCATCTCAGAAATATAGACAGTTATTATATATTCGACCTTGAAATCATCGCAGGCCAGTTTTATAGATGTCCTTGTTTTCATCCATGAACAATGTGTTACCATATCCCGATGATGCGAAGTTTTAGAGAACATGAAAACATTATATATGCAAGTGACATATTGTTGATAGCAGACACTAAAAGGAAACTACAAGAACTTCTACACAGGGCAGTGGAGGAAAGCAAGAGGAAAGAACACATAAGCATCAATTGTAGAAAGACAGAATGTATGGTTGTCAGCAAAAAGGAACAGCCCAGCATATAAATTACAAATTAGGGACGCCAAAATCAAGCAAGTACAAACATTTAAATATCTGGAAATTGTTTTAACAGTAGACGGAAAATGCGTCACCGATATCCTACGGAATATTGGAATAGCGAAATATGCCTTTCAAAAGCTAAGTAAAATATTAAGAAACAGAAAAATGTCGTTAAAAACAAAGAAAAGAGTACTGAACTGTTACGTAATATCAGTCCTCCTATATGGTAGTGAATGCTGGACAATCTTATCACAAATGAAGAAGAAACTTGAAACAACAGAAATGTGGTTCAACAGAAGGATGCTGAGGATTCCATGGACGGAACATGTGAGCAACGACGAATATTTAGAGAAAATAGAAACAAAAGGATACGTACGCTTAAAATCAGAAAGAGACAGTTGAAATTTCTAGGGTCCATAATGAGGAAAGGTGGCTTGGAAAATTTGATACTCCCATAACAGATTGAATCAAGGAAACACAGGGAGACAAGGCATAAACTACCTGGCGAGACTGAGCAAATGGAAAGGGGAAACACGGTTTTAGAGAGAGAGCAAAATGACAAAGAGCTACAAAGGACAGAGAATAGTGGACAGCCATTATAGTACACGTCCTGAAGGGACACGGCACGAAGAAGGAGGAGGAGGAAGAAGGAGGAGGACGAAGAAGAAGAAGAAGAAGAAGAAGAAGAAGAAGAAGAAGAAGCTTATTTCTGATTAATATGATTATTGCATGATTTACCGGTAGGTGCCTGGTTTTTCACCCTAAACCTGCCGTGCCCTACCGCGACTCCTCCATCGCCCCCATCGGAGCTCCAACCATGGCAGATTATTATTTTATTTATAATTTCCATCATTTTACGACTGATTTGTTAGATATACGATTAGTCTTTCTTTAGAGTATTTTTCATGACACCAGCCGGATTGCCAACCAAATCTCAGAGAGGCCATCTCTCCTCTAATTCCCTGCGGAAACTGACCCATCTATATTATTATTATTATTAGTTTAAACATTCCGTTGATAATGGCGGAATATACAAACTTTTACTATTGTTCTATTCTTAGATCTTTCACGGAGTCGCTCTTTTCACTTCCTAATTCTTCAGCTCCTTTGAACTGTAAGCCATCTTTTTTTGTACTGGGGTCGCTAATTCAAGGAAGATAACTCTTGTACAATATAAAGCTGGAAACATTACAGTAAAAAGATTAGATTTTTATTAGTTTTCCCACCGGTTTTCACAAAGGAGCGTTCATCATTGTTGGGATTTTATCGGATTTTATTAATGCTGTTTTCTGGATAATTTTTTTTTTCGGATTTCCAAGTCTCCAAAAGTATTTAAAAGATCTTTCGGGTATAGTTCTACGCATGCCAGTACAACTGTCTGCATTATGTACCACAATATTCCAACTTTTCACCTTTATTAAAATTTTATTATCGTTCATAATTTTCTGAAATTTATATATATTGACAAATATTGTCCCTCTTTAGATCCGACGTCCTTTGGATCTCTCAACTATAGAGAGCATCGATGGACAAGCAAAGTTGAATATTGACTTTAAACACAGATTTTTCTCTGACTCTTTAAATAGACATACCTACTCAGTTTCGTATCCTGACGTAAACAAAGCAATTTCTAAAGAAAGGGATGCATTTTTTTTTATTCATTAATCCAACAGATTTTTATTACATAAATGTTATTTTTAGTGGATCGTCGTATTTGAGTAGACACTCTGTTTATTTATTAAACAGTATATTTATTTTTTTCACCTACCGGCCTGAATATTCGAGAAGCGCATATTTTCCCTCTTGTTTGCAATAACTAAAACTATTGAGTCTTTTTTTATCAACTTTATTTTGTAAAAAATACAGTACAATCCATTTTCTTCAATTACATATTCACCATTAATTTCACTGACTTGTTGCCACTTATCAGGCAGCTATTGGATAACTTTTGATTAAAATACCGCCGATATTGATGTGAATATTTTTTAATGAACTTTCATATCTAGTTTTTATTAGATAAAAGTTTTTCCCCGTCAAAGCGCTTTCCAGCGATCTAAAAATATGTTATAATGTTAGTGCGAGGTCAGGCAGAAATCTTATCAATTCACTGTTTATTGGTGCTAAACATTGCCGTATACAACCCAATTTATCAGCTGTTGTGATATATTTTAGAGACGTTTAGATAGGTATGTTAATTTTAACGACTCCAAATGAAAATACATCTTTGTGGAAATTGATTGAAACAACCGCTTTAGTTTCCTTTCTTTAACCATACGGTCGGTTTTAGACCCACTGGAGGTTTTTTCTTCAGATTAGGTTATTTGCAATGGTGGGCAGTAATATGAATCTATTTTCGAGGTGTGAGATGAAATTTGTTTGGACTTGAAAAATATTGCGTCATCGGTGATTACGTCAAGTTTTTAACACGCTCAGACACTACTGTCTCGACTGTCGATTAGTTGTCTGCGATGGACGTTACTCCAAGGAAGCGTACGAAAATTGTAACACTACACGAATATACTGGCAAGCCTTACCAGAGAGCAAATCAAAGTACTATCGACTGGCCTGGAAACTCTCCTGATTTAAATCCAATCGAGAATCTGTGGTCAATCTGTAAAGAACGACTTCGTAGAATGGATATACGAAGTACTAACATGTGCACTGGGTCATGTTTCATTGGAAAAATACGATAGCTATAATTTAAGTAGTAAGACTTGAATCAGTAAAATGATTATTATTTCAAAAAACAAAAATTCTTAGAATGTAAAAATATTTTCTGGCTTAAAATAGCCTGCAAAAGGTTGATAAGCCGTAAAAAATGAATCAAATCAACCAATAAATCAATCGCATTTCTCGCTTCCGGCTTCTTGCTTTCCAGTCAAGTTTGACCCTCAAAAATTTAAATGCAATGCCAATGTCTTTTTAATTATTGATCTTTTATTGCTTTCTCTCGTTAGTAATATATTTCTTTCTCTTATATTCTTTCACACTCAGTAACCTCCTTGCGTCTTAATGGCTTTATTGCCTTGCTTGAAGTGAAATGATTAAAAAAAATACTAACTTGGTTTTTGAGGTACAGAAAGTTACTATCCAGGTTTTTTCCTAATGAGTAGTTTAAGTTAGGTTAGAAGAGAAATCAGCCGCTATGTTGCAAACATCTTGATTTTTGAAGGTTAAGGTTAGGGTTAGGGTTAGGGTCAGGGTTTGGATTAGGGTTAGGGTTTAGGTTATGGTTTAGGGTTTTGGTTTTGGTTTGGGTTTGGGTTAGGTTTAGGGTTTGGGTTAGGATTAGGGTGAGGGTTTGGGTAAGGTTTGAGTTAGGGTTTGGGTTAGGTTTAGGGTTTGGGTTAGGGTTAGGGTTAGGGTTTAGGGTTTGGGTTAGGGTTAGGGTTAGGGTTTGGGTTAGGGTTTAGGGTTTGGATTAGGGTTAGGGTTAGGGTTTAGGGTTTGGATTAAGGTTAGTGTTAGGGTTTGGGTTAGGGTTTAGGGTTTGGATTAGGGTTAGGATTTAGGTTTAGGGTTAGGGTTTGGGTTAGGGTTTGAGTTAGAGTTAGGGTTGGGTTAGGTTTAGGGTTAGGTTTAGGGTTTGGATTAGGGTTAGGGTTAGGGTTAGGGTTAGGGTTTCGGTTAGGATTTAGGGATTGGATTAAGGTTAGTGTTAGGGTTTGGGTTAGGGTTTAGGGTTTGGATTAGGGTTAGGGTTTAGGTTAGGGTTAGGGTTTGGGTTAGGGTTTGAGTTAGGGTTAAGGTTGGGTTAGGTTTAGGGTTAGGTTTAGGGTTTGGTTTAGGGTTAGGGTTGCGTTTAGGGTTTGGGTTAGGATTTGGGTTAGGGTTAGGGTTAGGGCTTCCATAAATTTTTGCAGGTGCCTCCTGCTTTCCTGTCAACTACGATCTTCAAAATTTTAAATCAATCGTCATCTTCTGTCTCCTTGAATTGTGTTCGTTTATTTCCTCTCTCTCTCTCTCTCTCTCTCACACACACACACACACACACACTTCCTTTCCCTCTAAGTAACTCTAGTGCCTTTCATGGATTTTTCTTTCGCGGTTGAAGGGTGTATTGACCCAGACGATTAGGATAAAAAAGCTTCTAAAAGATGGAGTAAAGTAATAATAATAATAATAATAATAATGTCGCCTTTATTCCAAGCCAAAGTGTTGTGATAAAAAGCAATAATAATATGAAATAAAAACATTCTAAAATTAATAGTAATGCTACAAATAATAAATGTCCTTTCTTGATCTCTAACTCACACATTATTTTATTTATTTTCTTGGACAAAGCTTGACGTTTATTCATAACCTTTTTTCACAGAGTCGAACACAGATCTTTTAACTATTGTTACTAATTGTAGTAGTAAAAGTAGCCATCTCTTTTTTTGTTATTGTTTCATCTGTTTGTTTCTTCTTGAAACATTTTTCTGTTGTACTCCTCAACTTTAGTTAGCGATATTTCGTCAGTTTCCATTTTGTCTTCTTCTTCTTTCTATTCAGTATTTCTCTTTCTCTATCTTCTTCGTTTTTTTTCTTTCCTTTCCCTCTTCGAATTCTTTTTCTCCCTCTTAATATTTCTTTCCTCTTCACATTACTCTCTTGTTTTCTTTTTCATTTTCATCCTCTCCACACCCTTCTTATTCTTCGCTTATTTCTTCTTTTTTTTCTTTTCTTTTTCTTCTTTTCTCAATTCTTCCTATGCTTTCTTCTCGTTCTCCTTTTTCTCCTCCCCCCCCCTCAAACATTATTCCTTTTCTCTTTATCTTTCCTTTTCATGCTTTTTATTTCTTCTTCTTTCTTCTCTTTCTTCTTTTCCTCCTCCTTCCACATCATCTTTCTTTCTCTTCCTTTTTGTTATTCATCTATCTCCTCCTACTCATCCTATTTCCTCCAACTGCTTCCTCCTTTTTCTCTTCTCACCCGTTTTTTTCTTACTCTTTCTTTCTCCTCCCCTTTCTTATTTATCCATCTTATTTCTCTTTCTCTTTCCTATTCTACTATTTTTCTTCTTTTCTTTTCTCTTCCTTCCTTATCTTCGTCTTTCTTCTATCTCCTCTTACTTTCACCCCTTCATTTTCTCTTCACCCTTTCTTCATTCTCCTCTTACTTCCTCCCCTTCATTTTCTCTTCACCCTTTTTTCATTCTCCTCTTACTTCCTCCCCTTCATTTTCTCTTCACCCTTTCTTCATTCTCCTCTTACTTCCTCCCTTCATTTCTCTTCACCCTTTTTTTCATTCTCCTCTTACTTCCTCCCCTTCATTTTCTCTTCACCCTTTCTTCATTCTCCTCTTACTTCCTCCCCTTCATTTTCTCTTCACCCTTTCTTCATTCTCCTCTTACTTCCTCCCCTTCATTTTCTCCTCATCCTTTCTTCATTCTCCTCTTCCCTCTTTTCTTCCTCCTGCTACTTTTTTCTCTTTCCGAATCTTTAGTTTGTCTCCTCTTCTTTTATTATCCCTTCTTTGTCCTCCTCCCGCCTTTTCTTTTCTTCTTCGCCACTTTATCATTCTACATCTTCTTCCTTTTTCTCCAACCTCCTCCTCTTCCTTTTTCTGTTTCTTATTTCCCAGTCTTTATTTCTTTATCTCCTCTTCATTCATTCTTTCCCCACCTCTCATTTCCTCCTTTTATCTCCTCCCCTTCTTAATTCTCCTACTCTTCTTGCTTGTCCGTTATCTTCTTTTTCGTTTCCCATCAATTTTATTTCCCGCTCCCTAACCGTTCATCTATCATCCTCCGTCTGATTCGATGTCCGAAAAAGGAAGCTGAGATAAGAAAATGCCTAATAAATAAAAGACTTGTCCGGTAA